CAAACTCATCAGAATGCAAATTTCTGCAGAATTGTATTCGTAGTCATCACAAATAGGAAGTTACCTATTTTAAATTCATTCCTTCCCCATTGTTCAACATTAAGTATTAAAACCAGCAACACTGAACCTTCAGTCTAAGCAAGCAGAGTAACAGATCCCATCCAATATGCACAAAAAGGTTTTGTTAAATAAAATGTGGAGCTTAAATTCCCTAGTCACAGCAGCGTTAGGCTGTCCATTGCTGATAATACATAGGTCATGCATACCTCAATAAAAGGATTATGGGGTGAAAACCATAAAACGGATCTGAGTGTGAGGTATGCCATGTTTTTTCATTCTTACATTTAGAGGCATTTCATTTATTTTAAATCAAATAGGCCCTAACTCAACAATGAATTTATTCTCCTGTCAGACACTCGACTACCTTGGTATTATTTTAAGCTAGCTTCAGTTAAGTGCCAGGAACGGGATACTGAGTTTGAGTGAGAAGAAAAATAAGAAGAGGCTTGAAGAGTGAGATGGATGAGAATGGCTCTCCCACTTTTTAAGAACTTTAAGGAAAAACACCAGCCGTGATCTCACCAGAACTGCTGTAGAAAAAAAAAAAATCTGGGATTTTGGGTTCTAAGGGAAAGGAGAGAAAGCGTAAAGAAACAAAAAACCTTCTGTGCCCTCAGAATACTAATGGGGTGGAAATGTAGTTTGTTGTATCTCTTGGTCTTGATCTAAATTTTACACACCAGAGCTCACTGCCACAGCAAGACCTGGATAGGGACAGGGTATCAGAAGGGAAAAATATGCTTTTTAGAGAAACAGTGCCGTGTCTATAGCATCTGCAGTTCTGCAAAACTTAATTCTTAAAAAAAAAAAGTATGACAGCCCTCACATCATGTTCCAGTCATGATTTTGCCTTGTAGCAACTGAGTTAAAAAATGGACAATTTTAAATGGAAACACTCTAGAAGTACATTATACAACCTAGGACTCAAAGCCAATAAAGCCTTTGGATTGATCCGCTACCAGAGAGTTTGGACAGACGGCTGTCAGCAAGGGGTGAACTGATGAGCACTAACAGATTCTGGAAAGGTGGCTCTAACTATTTAATTTGTTTCCTGTACAAATACAGTACATTTTGCTTTAAAAAACAAAGTTGAAGTGTTTTTTCTACTGGGCAGTAGAAATGAAGATAGTCTTTCTACCTGGTCCTGGCTACCAATACTTTGGATCGGGCGGGGATCTCCAGGAGGAAGAGGAAAGTAAGGAAGACGCTGCTTCTCCCAGAGGAACTGAGCATTTCTGCTTGGAAAAACTTCAGGAGGATGGTGTGGGGAGGAAGGGAGAAAAAGAGGTGGCAAGCAGGCAGCTCACAGCAGAGTACAGCTTGCAAAAGCTCCCTAGAGGGCCAGAGACTTCCTTACAGCAGAGAGCAGGCTCAAGCCAGGGGAACGCGGGGAAGACCGATGGATTTGTCATTCAGCACAGAAGACCGCACAGTTTGACTCAAAATTAACTCAAAAATTGATGTTTCCAGTACTGGAGGACTAATTCGATGATTGTAAACTACACAGTAGTTCAGCAGCAGGATGAAGCAGAGTCTGGCATACAACCGCAGCTGTATCACAGGATTTGTCCCAACCCGATAAGGAGTTTAACATCAGTCTTTTCCTTGCCTTGAATGGTGACAGAACTGAAATTAGCCAATGGACAAAATTTAATCTGTTTTAAAAGAAAGTGAGGTGCAATTTAGTTAGTGATTGTCACATATAAGTGTCTCAATCATCTAATTTCAAGTGGCCCAGGCTAACGCACCTGATAACTCTTCAGTGGTGCCACCGTGACGGAGGTAACATTATCTACTACGAATCTTTCCACAAAGCTGATTAGCATTTTGTTAGTTTAATGAGTGGAAAACAACACAGGCTTTAGCCTTCTCCCCAACACACCGTTTGCTCAAGAAACTGAAAGACTGGGCTTCGCTCCTCCCTTGCTCCACATTATGTCACTCTGAAAATGTCCCTGTCGCCGGCCCATTAAGATCAGATTCAGCAGCTCTTTTCAGCTACTACGGTGTTTTAATCTTAATACAAACAAACAAGTTTGAAGATGGAAGTTTCATCTTTAACTTATTTAAGATATTGCTTCCTGACTTTTTTTATTGTTTCTAAATATCTTAGAGATATTTTTATTTGCTTTTAAACCAAGGGGGCTCCAAACTAAAAGCATATTTTAAGAATCCATAACAGAATACAGTACAAGAGGAGAATTTTGTAATTATCCCCAAATTAAACATTAAAATCTGTGAAATAAGGAGTTTAGTTTCTCACATGCAATACTAACCTTCCTGACACATGGGAACACATGTCTACGTGGTCTACAACCAGCAGTCGTACTTTGTTTCTCCTGTATTTAAATCTGCATTTATATCTGGAGATTGCTTAGACATATTTAGGTTTAAACCTTGCTGCTCTGGTCTCTCAGCAAGATTTAGCGTCACTGACTTGTGCTCCCATATTCGACTTCCAGACTGGAGTTGGGTTGAACCCCATGACCCCAGGGAGTACAGTGGAGTTTCCATGTACTCTTGTAAACCATGGCCTCATAATGCAACCTCTGCCCCATAATATATGAAATAAATACATTATAATTATACTTTGTCCTGAAATTATATTAAAATATATCATAAAAATATTCGGGAGGTTTCTCTATGTTTTATGTTTTCTTCCTCCAAGTGTCACTTAAGGGTAGGGATAAAGCTATTTCTTTATGTCATTCACATATTCTCTTTAGTACAAAACCTGAATTTACTCAGTTTCCAAACACATGGCTCTGAGATGACTATAACAAACATACGGTTTATTGTACTTTAAATACATACTCTTAATTATACATTTTTTTGCCTTTTGGGGACAAAAAATACCAAACTATTGTGTTATTGTATTAAAAATGTAGATATATTAGAATTTTATCTGAGGAAAGCATGTGGTATAGCACTAAAATCCAACTTGGAAAAATATGTGCAGTGTCACCTTAATAGTAATGGGTTAAAAATCCTAAGCAGTGGGTCATGTTCATCAACATACATGGTCATTCACCATGGACGCAAACACATCACAGAAGTCAGCTTCTCCTCTGCCAAAGTTCATCCTTGCCTGTGTCTTTGTATCGAGACAGGCCAGTGAAGGAGAGGGTCTATTCTTCTATGCAGAATATTCCGGTCTGCTGGAGGTGAAGCTGAGAAACATACCCTGCGGCTCTATTCTGTTATGCTGAGCCAGCCTTTTTTCCCTCAGTTTCCCAGAATAATGATGGCACACATGTAACAAACATGTTGAAATAATATATGACTATGAAGTACCATGAAGTCCAACTACAGAGTACGATAAAGCTACTGTTATGTACCTATTCCTGTACTACCATCTCTGGTAGGTTTCTTCTTCTAAGAAACACCCAACTGCTTGGAGTAAGGAGAAAATTCAACTTGGAAATACTTCGTATGGTTAAGGCTGCCAATGGTAGAAGAACACACTCACTAGTAACAGCTACAGCTGAAGGCTCGAGAACAAATCAGTGGCCATGAGAGCGTCTAAGCCCCATGGGGAACAGCAGTTCCAACTTTCCAAACACATGTAATGAACAACAGAACCAATCAGCAAGTGTTTGCAAGGAGAAGAGAGCCAGGCAGCCGCAGAGGAAAAAGAACCTTCAAGGTTCCATATTCTACCCTCCTGGGGTGCTCAGCTTTGTGGTTCCCCATCTCCCTTCACAAGACGAAAACAGCAACAGTACCAAGAAGCACTCATGGCAATCACCAGATTCTTGCACTTGTACAATCAAAGAGATGGACTAAGTCGGAGACCTCAAATCTTCCTTCTTTGCTTTCCCCCACTGAGGGGCTGGTCGGAAAAATCCCACTTCCAAATTCTCTCCAGGGGAAGGAACAACAGCAGAAAGGACCCACCACGGCCTCTCACATGCAGAACCTGGTGTTACTGTGGGAATATTGCTTTTTACTGTCTGTCTGTCCCTCTCCTCCTGAAGTAACTGCTCAGGGTCACTTCACCTGCCCAGGGAGCTGTTTTATTTCCATCTTCTTCCTCTCTCTTATAGTCACCTCTCACTCCCTCAGCAAGTCTCAGTACTCTTTTTCTTCAGGTCAGCCTCAAGCACAGCCAGCTCCTTCTCAATCAAAACCATAAAAAGCCATTATATCTACATAATAACAGAACAAATATAGAAGCACTTCTGCACACAGCGTTTTATTTTCCTAGATAATGGGTAATTAAGGTTGTGTTTATACTGGTGATTCACAGTATTAGAAATACCTGGTCACCACCAAAATCAAGTACTTTAAAGTCAGGAAATTCTTAACTGATCATAAACATAAACCAAACATGCTGGATCTGGAGAAGCAGAATCAGGGCATTCGAAGTAGCCTCAACTCTGCATTGTAATGATACAATAACCATAATTGGTCCCAATGCACATAAAACCCCATTTTAGAGACATTAGATCCTTAGTTTTATTTTTTATTTCTCCCTATTCTTTCATTTTCACTTCCCTGCTAATAATAGCTTCTATTACTACCAATTGTTTGGAACAAAGAGAAAACCCATCTCAAGAACTACAGCTCTTAAAGCTCTTTAATTCTACCTTAAATTACAGTCAAGTCGTTCAAATTCTGTATTTACAGTAAGCGTTGCCATTCCAGGGAGAGCAGAGCATCATACCAGCACTGAAATCTCTGCTGCAAGGACAAAACTACTTAGTCTTAACTGTGGACCCATCTTCATAGCCCTTTATTTCCTCTCCACTCTTAATTTGTTTCCTTGAACCTCTTTGTTAACTGCAACTGAACAGTTGACACAGAACACCAGCCCACAAGGAGATTCCCTACAGGCAAGGAATTAACATTGTTTTCCAAGTCTTGACCTGCAGACCTCACAGGCTTTGTGTCAGATTCATCCAGAAGCTCATCCACCCCCCGTCCCATCTCTTGCTCACCTGGCAGAGTGCTGACAACTCCCGTATTTCTGCACAGGACCCATAGCTTTTCCAGCATTGCAAGTGCCTGGTATGTGGAGTCTGGGAGCAGGTGAACATAGGGCTCCAGCCCGTGCTCCGTGCTGCAAGGCGTCCTGCCGCAAGGTGCAGACTCCTGGGCTGCAGCCTTATGTTGAGGCTCCTCCATCGGTTCATTTAATGCAGGGTGTATCCCAAGTGCGTGACTCGACGTGCGGGCATGACCGTGTTGCATGATTCTGCCCAGATGCTAGCACATTTTCAGTGCTACAACGGTACAGTAATTGTTTCTGAAGTGTGAGCCACAAGGAAACAACTGATAAATGAGATGAATATAGATAAGAGTATCAGAGAAAACCTGCAAGTGTGAAAAGTGCTGAATTGGGGGAAAGGGACTCTAAGAGGGTGAAGCGTGACTTACGGATTTACTTCCAGTAACAATGCTCTGTTGGAAGCAGACCCTACCTAGCAGGTCCACGGATTATTTTCTTCAACTCTGATTCTTTAACTACCTAAACAAACTACATAAACTACAGCTACAAACACGGTGGGAAATTGAGAGAATGAAAATGGAATGGGAACAATGAATGAGCTTGGGGAAATATACAGAAGCATGTTTAAGATTTGAAGTGAAAGGCCAAAGATGCCCCAAAATAGGATCTTTGGAAATCAAGTTCAGGATGAATTTATAATAGTCATGTGAATGGGAACTTTCACTTTCCTCTTTTCCAGTTCTGCAAGATTTGATCTAGTAAAAAGTTCAAGGCCAGTATTTTTGCTTTATAATGGGTATAGCGAAGTGGTGAGTTAAAGAGGTGGGCAAAAACCAGGACTAGAAGACGGATTAACAGAGCAAATGCACTGTCCTGTGAAGTACACTTGCTTTTTAATAGTCACTTATCACCCCAATTTTGTGATAAAGGCAAAAAATTCTTCCTTTTTCCTCACTGCATTTGGTTTTGATACATTGACAATTACATGTGAAAGACTCAAAGTGACAGTCTTCCCCAAGCACCAGAACAGCTCGCTCTGTTTCTGACCAAGATGCAACCCTCACCTATGGAATTACAGCTTTTGCCTTAAAACCATTCAGCATAGACCAGCACTCATCTTTCCTTATTGCAGCTATTTACCAGAAATGCCCAAGAATTACCATGTATTATTCAATACCTGAGCCAAATATAGGTTAACAAGTCACCCACAGATCAGAGGCTATGAATCGCTGGGAGCCCTGGCACAGTTACTGCCCAGTGCTCATTTCCCAGGCCGTGCCATGCCGAGCAGCTCTTGCTTCTCCTCCTACATTTTTGTTTGTGAAGTGTTGATTAAGGGTAAAATTTTCAACAGCATAGGAGGAATTTGGCGCACCTAGAGCAGAATTGCACCTCCCTGGGTCTTGATGCCCTGAAAGTCCAGACCAGTGAGTGGTTTCTGTTGTTGCACCCGTTTGAGTCCCATGCTCGAGTTCCCTTCCTGCAGAAATGAAGGCTCAGGAAGCAAAACAGAAAGGTGACACCGATCAGTGCATCCCAATTCAGCGTTTGGGCTTCACTGATCTTTCTGTTTCGCTTCCCTGTCCGTTACACTGCGCTACCGGTAACAAGAAGTACTTACAGCACATCTCTGACATGTAGCTCTCAAAGTGCTTTACAGTGGCAGAAACATACTTTCCATGTTACAGATGGAAAGATTGAGACTTGGATTTTATGTGGCCTGTGCTAGGGAAGCCTGAGGTATCTTGTGGTCTAGCAGACATCAGACAGACTTGCCGTAGAGATTTTAAACAGGATCTATAACCTTTTTGTGCCCCGGTCAACCTACAAATGAACTGAAACATATCACTCACCAATTCCACAGAACTGTGTCAGAAGATGTGACATAAGGACAAGTTGCATGGTAACCTCCTATGTAAACTAAACCTAGCTCCATCCGCCTTAATATGTAACTCCTTATTCAGCATAATAAATTCTCAAACTGCTGAAACCAGCATTTGCTGAGCCGTCTTCAACTTCAAACTGCCTGCATTCCTTGGGTTACTTCTATTACTTTGTTACACAGAACGAGATGTAGGCTTACAATGCCTACAGCATTGAGAAAAATACCAAAATAAACAAAAAAAAAAAACCATTGTGCTCAGTATATTTCATGACAAAGATTTTCCTGAAATTAAGGGGGATGGAATTTGATCCGAGTGCCTCAAGATGACCAGAGGGAAGCGTTTACCTTTCCGGAACAGTTGAGAGTTTTGCATGGTGCCTATTTCTGATTCGCACTGCAAGGGCATGTTACGCAGGCCACGTTTGCAAGGCTACGGAGACAAAATTAAAGTAGCCAGGAGGAACATACCTCTGCATTTCTACACCTCATGCGGTATACATATTTTAAATGGAAATGCAGCTTTATCTCAGTTTTCAAGATATTTCTGTGTATGAAGCAATGTCTTGTACTATAGCAAGTTACAGATGTTCCTTTCAGGTCAAGTTGTTAAACCCTGTTTTATAAAAACCTCTCTTAAAAATTTTGGCTTAATTGTCTGACAAATTGTTTTTCATTATAGGTAAAAATTTCAGCCCTTTAAAAGTCCAAGACAAACATAATCTGTTGTTGAATTTCACTCATATCAAATGCTATACTTCAATCTTTGTGGAGAAAAAAAATCGTACAGTAACATACTTTGTCTTTTTTCTAATTATTTCTCGTCTATACAAACACTACTGGGAAAAAATGAACTGCTTTTAAGGATTTGTAAAATAATTGATTCCTAGGTTTATAACATGGTGAGAACTCTGCCCAGTGATAATGTTAGAAGACAGCTTCTTGATAGGAATGCTGATGCAACTTTAACCATAGGCACTAGAAAATGCTGCTGTAATCCTTTCTTAACTCCAGACTGCAAAGATGTAGGAATAAACAAATAGTTAAGGTGCCTGATTACCCTGTCCTGTCTCTGAGTGTTTGTAACTATACCTTGTCACGACAAAAGGAAAGTAGTGGCTATACTGGCTATCTATAGCTAAAGCAAACTCTACTTCTCAATTCAAAGCCTATGTACAGCCCTTATTTTTTTTTTCTCTTTCTTTCTTAAAGGGGTAAATTTCATACATTTTAAAGACCCCATATAAGCTATTATAAACAATGTTAAGAAACATAACATTTTAAAGGTGCAGATTAATAAAAAGTAAAGAAAATACTGAATAGCGACAATATTTTTTTAAAAAAAAAACACAAGATTTCTTTTAAAGGACAAATAATATTCGCAGGGAAGTGGCAGAAGTCCCCCTCCTTAAAGGCATTTAAAACTAACTTAACAAAACACTAGCAGGCATACTATAAACCATATAATATTAATACCCCAGTCTTTTCAATTTCCAACATGTAGAACTCCATTATTTATAACGAGAGAACTAACAGGACATTCAGCAATTATCTGACAATTGGAAAAGCTTACTGAAAATTAACAGTAAAGCAAGAGTACCTACTAATGATAATACAGCACAACACAACAATTTTTGGTTTTCTTATCAATAACAGCCCAGACCTGTACTGACTGTGCATTGCAAATTGTCTTTTTGATCTATATTGACAATATAAGGTAAACGTGACTTTTAAAATGAACACGTTTATACAGAAACAAGTTAGCACCTTAACCTGACTCAACAGCAGGCTTCCTTACTGTGTAATATACCCAGATATGCAAAGTAGTTTAAGAAATACATGCATACTGCATGCATACTGGTACACCATCTATTAATCAAAATAATAATCCAGGAATACACTGCAAAAATACATCCATACTCTATTAAGGAAGTACTAAACATGAACTTCTGATTGAACAATATTAGATACAGCATATAAACAGTCACCTAGCTGACACTGCTTTCAGAAATCCAGTGAGATTGTCTGCCATAATCTTCAAAATCTCCTCAAATTTGTGAAGTTTTACGTGGGTTTTATCCTACATTTGTGCATCTTTAAAAAGTAGGTAAGTAGATAACATGCTTTTGTATTTGAAAGCCAAGCAAGTGTTTGAAGTTAAATCTAATTAAAAAAAAAAAAAAAAGTACTTCTACCTTCACTAAAATGCAGTGCCAAAATATTTGGCATTCTAACGTCTCTGTTTTCATTAAAAATTAAGATTGCATGATCAGGAAGGGTTTGATGGTAGCATTTCTGGGTTACTAGAATGCTGCTGTATTGCAACACTGAAACCCACAATTTTTTCTTTCTTGGCTGAAATGCTGAGCCTTTAGTGTTGTATTACTATGAACCACGTTGATCTTTAGTTAAAAAAAAAAAAAAACAAAACGTCAAGAATTAGTGCCACCAATGCCTGCCTGCTAAAACTGCTAATTAGATTCCAGGAAGCCACCAGTCACTCCAAATACTGGCCAGAGAACAAAGAGACTTGTACAGAGTCAGAGTACAGAGACTTGTATTCAGTGCATTACCACCGGCATCAAATATTTCCAAACTCAATTTATAATAAGCTGTAACTTTAACCAGATGTTAACCAGAAGTTCTGGTAATAGTACGCCAAAATGCATTTACATAACTTTTTAGGAATAGATTAGTATTAAAAGGTATACCTAAAATGTCTCAAACTTCTCCCACATTCTGATTTTGCTTTAAGTTATTATTTAAACTAATTTATGTAAGCTGTAAAGCTAACTGACTCCAAAACTTTGCTGGTTTGTTTATAAAGCATGCAGAAAAAACGAATACTCCTGGGTGAGCTGAGTGCCACATCCACCTGAAAACCTGCCCTGACTACGCATGATTTTTGTTTGATTCAAGACAGCGACTTTGCTTCGTTAGTCAGCCTTCACTCAAGGCATGTAAGACCACAGCAAGCAACTTCCCAACATCATCCATAAAACATTGTGTAACAAACCCAATCCCTGTTGAGACAAGTTTCAATCAATCCCTTTGATATCTGTTTAAAAAACATAAAAAGGAGGGTGTGAGCGAGCCAGAGAGGTTGTAGGTGTGAGGAAGGAGCGTTTTTATTTAGTTTCTTCCCTTCTGCTCAGCAACTTTGTAATCCATTTACTGCTTTCCTTCCCCATCTCTCACCCCTGCGCGTTGTTTAGCTGGAAACTGGGCTGCAAGAATGTGAAGAATGTAAACAGCCTTTTCTTGTCCAAAAGGATAGGAGTGTGAAAGAAATGT